GGAATGAACAAATTATACATAAATGATAATATGTAGATAGTTAGTTTAAATGTAATTTTAATTGAAAGATATGTAAGTAATCACTAAATTTAAATTAACAATTGCATTTTTTTAACAGATAACCATTGTTACAGTTGCAACAGTTACCATTGATTTGATAATTTTCAATTATTGATAAAATTTAATATTTCTAGTTTCTATAAAATAAATATATGTAAATAACTAACAAGCCATTGGAAATAATTGATTTCATTTATTACATAAAAATAAAACTTGAAAATATTGTTTGCAATTTATGTCGGCACTATATTACTAGGTCAACTACTAAATATCAGAGGTCACCTGCAATTATCTTTAAATGGCCACATTGAGAATCTTGAAATTGTTCACGGGCCATTAAAATGGCAGATATTAGTAAAAATCAATGATTCATTTCAACACCAAAACAAATAATATTAAAGTTTTTTCCTTTTTTTCTTTTGTCTGCGGGTCGGATAAAATTTGTCCATGGGCTGTCAACTGGTGACCCCTGCCATACATATATAGATAAAAGCAACATTCTTATTTTTTATTTAAAAATATTTATTTTGTGGTTTTATATATTATTTAATGAGTAATGGCTATGATAATTAATCCTGAAAAAAATTAAATGGGAACACTGCCCCTAATAACTCCCCCCCCCCACGTGAGAGCTTTAGCTCCAATTTCAAATCACCCCAATTCACTACAAGGTAATAATTCACCCGTACAAATGGTTTGGCAGGCACGGTGAATGCGTAGGTATAATAATAATAATAATATGTGTATGTATACTTACTCGCTTTAGGTTCTTCTATGTAGAAAACGACTTCGCCGTCACTGTCTCTTCTGGGTGGTGGGGGTAAAGTTTGAGCTTGCGGGCAATCCCTATTATTATTCGTCGCCCCGGGTGTGTCCATTTTGCTTTTTGATCTCTTCCGCTTCAAGACGCTGGCACGCTTTGCTACTTGCATGATTAAAGACTAAACGCAACACAACATAACATAATATTATTTATATTATTGTACCAAGTCAACAAGTATTTGGAACTAAGTGACTAACTTTACTCAATGACGAGTTATCTTTAGGGTGTCCCGGTTCCTTGATGTAAATGTCCCAAGTGGCTTGACTGTTGAAACATTTATCCGCCGCATAGCACCTCCACAGGCATTGTATCAACATCGCAGCCGCAGGTATTTGTCGGTTGAAATGTTTCTGCCGTTGTTTTTGCTGTACTTTCAATGCGAATCCAGAACCTAGTATGCCCTATAATTATACAACGCTTATAAAACAATTTTGAAAAATATGATATACTTTGGAAAATATTAATTCAACCTTTTACTAATATCTAATAGTAAAATAAATTACTTTGATAAGAATAATATTATAAAATATACTTAGTAATGTAGACCGACAGACTGTCTTCATTCAGAATCATTATTCGTATGCAATGGTTATACATTAATGAATTAAAATGTAATACATCTATTATAGTGGCCCATTTGATATATATTGTTAACCKAGTGGTTCCCACTTGCCCACCTTTTTTTAAATTTGTGTTTGACTATATTTTCAATTGATACATATTTTGTTACTTATCATTTCAAGACAAAAAATTAAACACATAAATGCACAAATCATATACTTTCGATTATATTTTACTTTGAATTGTAATTTAATATAGTAGACTAACATGTAAATTGTTTATAGTTGCATCCAAAAATACTTATCCTTTTTCATCATGCATTAACTATATCAAGTATGTATAGTTTATTTACACCAGATACCTATATTTTTACRAAGGATATATTTTGACCTAGAAATTATATGTACATTCGTCATCGTTAAAACAATTTATAGCMGAATATATTGCTTTTATTTAAATAATTCTAAATTGATTTACCTATCACAAATGTAAAAATGGTTTTGATAGCATTTAATTATATTTCGTATATTGAATTATTAAACTATATTGTAGGTATATATAATGTATTATAGATAAATACTCAATATGATGTATGTAATAACTAACTAGGTATTAGAATAACAGAAATCTAMATAATTGAAATAATGATCTAAAATCGAGATGAATCCTAATCATTTTTAAATCTATTCAAAAGAAAAACTGGTTGAAAATAAATCAAATAATATTATAACTTACTGCCTATTGATTTTTCTGTTATTGTATTACTACTACGAAAAAGAGTTCAAAGCTTATGATGTTTTTGTATTACTATACCATTAGTGTATTATAATGTTATTAAATTAAATGTTAAATATCAATAGGTACTGTAGTGGTCCCTAAGGTACACGGTATTTTTGAAAATTATTATATATCATCATAAATAAAATATCTATCATAATAAGTAARCTGCAGCAGTTGTTCTACTAAATGTTATCATATTTATAGTGAAAATAAGTAAGAAAATGTGAATATTTAAATAACCGCATATACCCTATCATCGTTCTCGGCATATAATTGTTTATAATTTTTAAACTCAAAGACTCTATCAACATATATAATATAATGCAATAAATTGCAAAATACACGGCATTTTTTAGTGATTTTTATTTATGGTTATATTTCAATAAAAACAATATACACATTTTATATTTTAGTTATGTGGTAATGTAGTATATCAGTATGTTTATTTGCGAGAAATGATTGCCGTTTGAAATTTYAAAAACGAACGATGTGTATAGATTACGGTTTTATGTTATGATGAGAGTATAATGGGTACATGTATGTACGCACATGTGTATAAAATTTGGTATAATAAATATTGTGATAATATGTATAAAGATTACACTACACACTAAACACTCACGCCCATCTCTTAATAATATTCAAATTTTGATTTTAAAATGTTTTTTACAGATTTTTTTACCCTACTGAAGACTCATAAAATTTACATGATTTCGAACAAAGTAATACATTTTATTAGAAATGAAAAAAAAAGAATTTGCATTTAATGATTTTAAGACGGTTTAGCATATAACTGCAGTAACGATGTTTAACATGTCCCGTGTATGTATTTTTGACGTRATATTCAGAAAAATTAAATGTAATAAAGAGGTACCTAGTATGATTGTACCAAGTATTGCAATATATTAAATACATATAAAAATGGATATATACGCGTGATTACTAAGGCTGAAGTTAATCAATTTTTTTATCAATGCATTTAAAAAAATCTACAGTAAAATACACTGTCATATTAAATGAACATAACAGATATTAAATAAATCTTGAAAGTAAAATCGAATAACAAAAAAGATGTAGGTAATATTCAAAAATCAACACCCCTTCCTATAAAAAAAATCAAAAATGATTGAAAACAAAACACAATGTAGTGATTTTATTTATTAGATATYTATTTTAATTATAAATATGGACATAAAAAAATAATTTAAACTACGATTTATTTCTAACTTAATTAAAATCAATAATAGTACACATTCTGGTACTGGTTTAAATCATATCTTACTAACAGATCTCGATCTGTTAAAATTAACAGTACGATTAGCGATCCGTAACTTTTTTATATTTACGTAAATGATTTGTTAAATTTAGATATAGATGGTGACATATTGGCTTTTTCTGACGATACAGTAGGTACCTATTATTCTTCAAGGACGATAATTGGAATTTAGTTGGGAAAAAATACTAACTTTGGGCTTTCAATAGTGAATAATTTGTACAGTAAAAATAGTTTAGCATTGAATAAATAAATGTACTTTGATTCCATTTGCCTTGTCTAATAGTAACACACCGGGCCAAATCTTAATAAAATCTTATTGTAATGATTGTAAAGGAAAAAAATTAACAGGTATACGTAATAAAAACTGTAGCTTCATAGCAAGAGTTAGATCATCAAGATATTATCTAAGTGTAATTTTTAATAAAATGGAAGACTCACATCGATACTGTAATAATGGGTTTACGAAAATGTTTTCATATATTCCAAGTGCTACAAAATATCCTTGACATCCATCCCATGTCTATAAATAGTTTATTTTGGTTTGGTTCAATCAGCTTTATTATATGGTATAATAGTATGGGGTTCAGCATATCAAAATGTGTTAGAACCTTTAAATAAAACACATTTAACGCTCATTAGAATAATGATGAATAATGATTTTATTGATCAAAATTATAATACTGCTGATCTATTTAGAAAAATTAAAAATTAAATAATAATAATTTTTACAAATTATACACAAATCATCAATAGTAAAAATGTTCGATAACAAAACAGACTTTAAAACGTATGGTGTCCATAATAAAAGAGGTAAAGATAGTGGTGATTTGCTTATTAATAAACCTAATTCAACATTAATGAAGAATTATTATACAAATAGAGATATGAGATAATTTGACCAACTCCCTTCAAATATTAAATTAATAGAGAATAATTCTAATTTTAAATTAATGATCCATATAGGTGCTCTATAATATATACGATTATTTTAGTATTTTACTTTTTATTTTATTTTATTTTACATTTTTACTATTTTACTATTATTTTTATAATTTCCTTATTATTGTTTTGTTACTATATTATATTATTTATTTTTATTATGTTGCTTATTACTATTATGCTATACGAATAGCCAATATCATTATTTAAAAAAAAAAACTTGACTAATTAATTAATCAATCATTATAATATTATATCTAGTATTGAATATCATTTATATGTAAAATTAAATAATACAATATTTTTAGTTACTAAAACAAACATTTGCTTTTAGAGAGTGGGTATCAACTTATAACCCATGTTATTGCTATTGCATGTATATAATATATATAATTATACACATCTGTCATAAATAGTTGAAATATATTTTTAAAAATAAATAAATAATGGTTTTCAAGTTTCTGATTACAAAATATGGCTTTTGAATATGATGGTATCCGGTCATTGCTCGCATGTTCTTTGAAGTTATAGACAGATAATGAAATAAATAATATGGGTATTGAACATTTTGTWTTTCCAAAGCAAGTGGCTTTTTGAAAAAAACATAAAACACAATATTGTAAAACCAAAATAAGAAAAAATGTAACTGAATTGAACAACTCTACTTCAATAATTTTATGTAATTTAATTAATAATATTGTAAGTTTGTTTTCACGGATTTAAATTTTAGAGTACTTTGTATGTTAAACATTTAAAAAAAATAAAAATGTAATATCCTAACACCAAATTGGAAACGATGATAATTTATAAAAAAATCAACACCTCGATACTTATATAGTTATATATATATAAGATAGTGGTATTTTTGATTAAACACGCAATCTTTTAAACTACTTGAACTACGAAGCTGAGATTTGGTAGTAGACATAGTGCTATAGTATATAGGTAGATAGGAGATGTCCTAAATGATAGTGTCATTGTCAAAGTAATGCCCAGCATTCCCGGCATTGTTCTTGATTCAACCATAAAAAAGATAAGAGACGTCCGCTAAGAACGGATTTTTCAAAATTCAATCCCTAAAAGGGAAAATAATATGCTGTAGCTGTAGGAATATATCAGTAGTGCCATCCGGTCAATGAAATTATATAAAACTCCAAAGTTTTAACTCATTCGCTTAATTTTTCACTAAAAAACAAAACGTATGAACTTGAAATTTGGAATTTTTGGTTCTTCTAATATGCTCTAAATGTGCTTGGAAATTGCTTATTTTATTCCACGCTACACGTTTTATTTGACAATATACAAGATCATGAATATATTCGAATAAGAGTAATTAACTCAGTGATTACTGATGAGGTAAGATTTTTGCATAGKTGCTCTTTGTTCTTATTGTTCTTAATGGGCGTAGTTGGCATATATTGCCTAAATACATAAGATGCAGTTTCCATAGCTCATCTTCGTGAGTGCATTTTACTGCAGGTGGATTGTCTACCCGACATACTTCTTGCATATTGTACACGAATTGCCTACTTAAATCAGTGCCCGGTTTTTGATTTTACGCTTTTTAGATACAAAAATGAACCGGATATGCGATGCTACAAAAAGCATTCACTCCACTGTTTTTTTTTTTAAATAGATAATTATACATATAAATATTATATGGAAATCTTATAGATTTAGCATTTTCAACGGACAACGAATTGAACAAAGTTTGAACTATGTAAAGTAGTAATTTTTAACGGGCAACAAAGTGTATGAGTTCAGATAGTACTTTTACAGTCTTATATATAAGTATTTAACTATTAAGTAATCACTGCTTTGTCTGAATTATATGGCTAATAATAAATGTGATTCTATTTAAGTATTTAATAGTAAAAATTGCTTTGTAAGTCGTATAAAATATGTTTAGTAAAACCTGTATGATATTCAGATAGGTTGATATAAAATATGTGCAATAAATATTTATTACCTATGTAGTCAATTTCTATCGCTTTCGTGAAATCGATGTCTGGTTAAGTTATGATTTATAATAGAATACATAGTTAACGTATTAAAAGTTTTAAATTTATTTTTAAATATACTAAGATTAGGTGTTATTTTTAATTTTTATTTATAATCAGCAATAATCCGTGTTTATAAGCTTGCGTTATGGGAAAATAATGCTAWTTCTTAATATAACTTCGGTAAGTATTATAAAATAGCGTTCATTTTTATATTTAATTGAGCATGTTTTGAAGTAATTTCACGTCGTAAATTTTTGCTATAAATATAAAACTTGATTTTGGYTTTTTTCGAAGGGAAAAATATTAAAATATGTTTACCTAAGTATGGCATGTGTATAGTGTATATAATATAAGAAAAAAACTGTAGTTATTATATTGATTTCCATTTTCATATTAATTTGATTTTACATTAATTGGTTTGGGCCCTTGGTATTGTTCGGTGTGATCCTGGAAAATTGTATGTGATAAATTGTCTCATTTATTTGTATACGTGTTGGTTAGTTCTGTATTAAATTATGATAGTGATTTTCCTTTCTATAGTTATTGATATTTGRCACATACCTAAATCGGGTTCATAATAGATTCCTCTCTTTGCTGTGTTTATCCTATAAGTTATGACACACYCTCATTCTCCTATACATTCTATATATTTTCAATAATATTTATTTTTTCTGTTTGTTAATAATTTTTGTCATCTATTATCTATACATATTGTTGATAATATATGATTATGATCATAGATAAAAGTTATATTTTATAAGCATTAAATATTAAAACAAAATAAAAAGTTAAAGAAAATGTATAAATGGATTTTCTTGTAACTTTTATATAGTAAGTATATAATATTGTTATGACTATAATATCGTAWAAGTCAGTTAACATGTAGAATAATATTATACATATATTTCGAACTTAAGAATTCTAGTCACTTCTTAATGTCTTAATGTTTTATAGATATACTATCTAAAAAAATAAAAAAACGGCATTGAGTTAAATGACTCTCTAGTTTGTTCGATATAATAATGTGTCTCACGGTAACTATACGACGGTTATTCGAAAAAAAAAATCATTATTTCGCTAAACAGTTACGAATCTGACTAGCAGTGCAACAATAGAAACTTACCTAAACGATAACGCTTTAGTCTATCAAACAATTGTTGACCTCTTGAAATAATAATTTGCACCATGGGGTGGAATTACTGAGTAATTTGAGATAACCTGCTTTAATTTAACATATTAATTTCGGTAGGGAGACGCTTAAAAATTTGACCCACCGATCGCAGTGGAATCTCACAAATATAATAAACTATAAATTATATACATATATATTACATAATATGTTATACAGTGTAGAAACCGATGGATGAGGGATGTTATTTTAAATAATATAATATCGTCACGACGTGAGCTAGGTTAATTTCCTGCAGAATATTTATGCAGTCCGGGGGCGAGGGTTAACTGTTACATAGATATATGTTCGAGTATTATAGGTGTATMTATATTGTGCATAATATGCAGAAATCCATAAAATGTTTTATCTATAATACCATGTACAATGGATTTAAATCGTTCTTATCGTGGTACACATGGCGTAATACGATATAATGTATAGGTACATATACCTATTTATTTTAACTATATTATTATTATGAAATGATTAATTGATTAGAAATCGCGATATAATAACACCCGGTTTATTATAACGRAAGTATGTATCAATCATCACATGAAGTAAAAAAATATTATAACTTATTATTTTTCTTATATTATACCAGAAACCTACTCGCGCAAGACTCACTTAGATTTTATAAATTTTAGTCAATCCATAAATCACAAGAATACATTATGTATATATGATGGGTAGGTACCCGATGAATTTGTGATAGCAGCGTGTTTTTTTTTTGGGGGGGGGGAGAAAGCTCCTGTATCAAAAAGTTGGATACAAAATTGAAACCCTCCACAGGTCGAGCTTTAGATTAAACTACTGACGCATGCATGATGCACTATGCCTGTTACATGACAAGTGTTTATAGTTGAAATGTGGTTTTCATTACTTTGCCTTCAAAAGTCATACGGTGTGTGGCCAAGTACAATACTATATAGAGCTACTTAAATTATAATACATAATATTATATATTATAATATATATTGTGCTATTGTACACCACCTCTTTTATAGAATATAATAATTTGACGCATGATATATTCATCAACTGTGATCTAAATTATTAAATATATTTTATAGTCGATTGTTTAAATTTCATCCATTGTGTCTTTTATGTTTAACCTTTTTTTTTACAATTTTTCAAATATATTATTATAATTAAAATAACTGGAGAACACAAATTTTTCATTAAGAAGGTAACTATTGACTTATAATATTAAAATCTTTAAAAAAAAATTATCTATTATTATATTAAATTACATCGAAAAAAGAAGGGCTTTACATTTCAAAAGCATTCAACTAAGTAATTTTAAATATGTAAACAATCATTATAGAGAGTCTTAAGTATCTATAAAATTGAAAAGTAAAATTTCAGAGTTTCACMAAACGCTATGTTAAAAAATTAATTTATACATATTTTTCTACACATACGTCTTGTTTACACAAGCTTAATAAGTTATTGGTTCAAATAAAAACATTTTATCCCCCAAAAATTTACCCTAATGTCATAAGCATAACTTATTTTTTCAATTCACCTAAATGAAACTTYCCACTTTTGCACCTACAAAAATTCTATCGGTACGATTTTTATAATCTGTAAAATAACAATAACGATTTTAAAATAATATATATTAACGTATAATAACATTATATGCATGCAAGTACTAAATCAGAGCCCTATGTAAACAAATTTACACTTAATGCAAAAAATAATCTAATATAAGTAAGAAATAAGTATTAAATCAGAATTTGACATCCCATTCAATAGACTTAAGACAGCCATAACACAGTATTCCGAAATATCATGATATCAATTGCTAAAAGTTGGACTTAACTATGCATATATTATCGAGCGTAATTCAGTCATACATATAATTCCAGATCAGGAACTAACTGTATATTACTCCTAAATTTACACACGCCTACAGTTTATAAGGTCAACGATTACTTTATTAATGATGGGCTCTAAACCAAACAATTTATCATTATCGCATAATTAAATATACATTTTAAATAAATACAATCAATAATCAATGGAACGTGTAATCTTGTTTATTTTTAATTGAAGCTCGTTATTTTAGAAAAACGAAATGTTTTATTTTACCACACGGTGAGGTAATCTGAAAATATAGATGTTAAAATGTTTTATATGTTACACAGGCATACAACTAGTAGGTAGATTATGGCTGAATGTATAATATATAGATAGGAGCTATCATATATATATATATATAAGGTATACCTACTGTAAATTTAATCAATATTATTAATAGTGTAATTGACATTATGCGCGTGCCGTAAATAATATAAAATGTTAAGCAATTTAATTTCATTAAATACGCTCCTTGTAAAAATGCTTAAAGTTCACACAAAAAAATAACATTTTACAATTTTTGTGATATAAAGCAGCTGAGATGGAAAATGCAGTTAGTTTTTCTTTTATTTGCATCATAATATTTTAATTAAGCAAATTCCATTAGTTTTGTGGTACGGTCATTYCGACTGAGCAAAATACTTATATACACATAAGCTAAGTAGTTTTAATAATATTTCCTCCATTAACTATACGTTTTGTCAAACGCCATTAATTTAATTAGTATTTAATCTTAGACATTTTACTAAAGGCTATTTATAAATGATTATATTGCTTGCACTGACGAGGATAAAACTATAATGTGCATATACGCCAACCCAGACAAATGTTATGGATAGTWATTTCTTATTTATTCTAATATAAAACATATACATTATACATAAAATATCATATATTCATGTAATACATTTTGATGACTTATAATTACAGGCGTGTAATTCATTCAATATATTATTCAGAGATTTATTTTTTTAAGTGAGCACATGCACACACCCATACACATAAATAATATTATATATTAAAACTAAATACTAATGGGTAATAATCCATATCATATTCTTACAGCTGGTAAAGCGAAGAATGAAATCGCGAATACGCTGAAACATGAGGCGACGATCTTGCCGATCCACGTCTGAGGCACTGCGTCACCGTAACCTATCGTCGTAACAGTGATCTAGAAATGATAGAAACAAATAAAAAGTTTATATATTTTACTTTTAAAGTATCATTAATTATTTGTAATTAATGTAGTTAAAGACCATTTCGAAAATTTACT